TAACCCCCTTAGTCTTTGTTCTAGCAGGCTTCCTTCTCCCCCCCCCACCCCTCTTGTGACCAGTCGCCTGAAGCCGCTTCACTTCGGCTGGTCGCAGCTCTCATCACGTACAATGCAGGACCATCAGTACTGCATTGCACGCGAGTATGATGAGGCCCACCCACATTTCGGAGCACTGGACTGAAGGAGAGAGCTTGCTGCTTGGGGAGTGTGGAATAGATGTATTTGTCCTTATTCTTTTCCCACTTAAGCCAAATGAGCATGTAACTCATGCAGTGCACAAAGGGACCCAACTGCATGGGTACATTTAAGAGCAGCTCGAAGTGGGGCTTTAAATGATAATGGTGCTTTCAGGTCAAGTTTCTTGTTAGCAACTGGTGGGCATTGCTTAGAAAAAGAACTGTCACTGTGTGACATTTGTTTTTCACTGTCTACCTACTGTACTCCACCACTGCGGGTGGAGGCAGTAACAGTGAAAGTTGTACAAAAGGGGCAGGAACTGCATCAGGGTGACCCGTTATTTATCACAAACCAGCCTATAACAGACCCCATGTCCCACTTCAGTGTGATGTCAGCACCAACTGAACACGTACAGATCACAGAGGAGGTGAACAGAAAATTTGCATGGGTCCCCTCGGCGACCTTCCAACTATCAATGATATTAAAGTCAGGTAGCAGGAGAGCTCTATGAATTATCTCCTCCTGTACATCTGACTACAGCTCTTCCTGATGGGAAGTGTCACAGTGGGTACAGGGTCAGTGTCCATAGCAACTTCTGTAGTCCTTAATGGGGCCCCCTTCCACCTCCAGGCCCCATAGCAGCTGCATAGGCTGCTATGGGTATTGTGACGCCACCATCCCCTTGATAGGCCAGCTGGGCTGAACACTAGGAATTTGTTCTTGGCTTTTGCTGGGATTTGCCCCCTTCTAGATATAAATGAATCAGCCAAAAATTATTTTCTCCTCTTAAACAGTATTATATGCAACACATATCACTATTGTTATAAGTAAGGAACCAAATACAGGAGCACAATCTTTGTACAGACGCCATCTGCTGTGCTGATGATTGGATTGTCATCGTTCTCTGCCTCTTTGAACAGAAACTGACACATTCAGTATGACAACCCTCATGATCACGATAAGCTTTAGTAGTGGAATGTGCTGAGTGATTCCTGGCATTAATCCTCTGTGCAGCCTCTTTAGTTATTGTATGGTAGGCACAGTCCGGTGTACGTTCAATGACCTGCAATGCTGATTCCTGACAACTGGACTAAGAGAAAAATAGAGGAGGAACCCATGGAAAGCCTCTTTCGTCTCAAAGTACCCATAGATACTTTGGGGTGCTCAGAATTGCAGGCTTAGTATGACTGTTCTCAGGCACTGGAAGTAGTACATGGCGGTCACATGTATAATAAGTGGAGGGGAGAGGTGAACCATACACACTTAGCACATACTGATCAGTTATGTTCTCATAACCCTTCCAATTGGTATTGGCTCCAAAAAGTGTTGGCTGCCGGTGTCTGTGGGCACATAACCAAACCAGCTGGTGTGACTCAGTTCATGTCTGTTGGCATCTTTTCATTATCTGCATATATACTCACCTGATCCTTGAACTTACCTGGCTGCTAGACCCATTGTCACAGCCTCTTCTTCCCCAGGCTCTGGCAGCCTAAGCCTAAGCCCTGCTGATTTAATTGTGTCTAATGCAGTCCATTCACCTGCATTAACTCTGGACTAAAACAGAAAAAAAAAAAGCTATACTTACCTCCTCTCCTGCGTTGCCCTTCACAATAATTCCTTTCCATCACTTGATACCCTCTGTCTTTTGAGACTGAGGGTATCAGGTAAGTGTAGGGAGTCAAGCACACTCCATCCTTTATAAGGGTGTCACATCACTACAGGGCCCTTTGACGTTGCAGAGAACGATTCTGATGTCTTCACACTGCATTTTCCGGGACCACCCACTACTAAGAAAAGATCACAACAGTAAAAGGACCCCGCATGCCACGTGCCCGGCCTGAAGACATTTAGAAAAGGTATGTAAATAAGAAATACAAAAGCCTCAAATTAAACACTAGGGGCCTCAAGGGGGAAGTTGGGTTTTAAAAAGGTGGTTCCGATCTTCTACAATAATCCATTATGTAATATTATTACTGGTATACATAGCACAGACAACACGGACTATGCAGCACTTTACATAGTGATCATTCACATCAGTCCCTGCCCACTAGGAGCTTACAATCTAAGGTCTATATCTCACAAAGATACATACAAGGGCCAATATAGAGAGGAGCCAATTAACCTTCCAGCATGTCTTTGGAGTCTGGGAGGAAACCGGAGTACCTGGACCCACATAAGCAAACGGAGAACATGCAAAGTCCATGCAGGTGGTGTCCTTGCCGGGATTCAAACCAGAGACCACTACAACAAAGGTTTTTTTTTCATCTCTGTTCTCAGGGAGTCACACAGTTCACCGACACAGATACCAGTTAGATGGCATTTTATTAAGAAAGATGACTAACACTTGTTTTTTCCTGAGGGCACAGAATGAATTGTTTTGTGTAAGTGCTACAGAATGTACGCAAGTTAATGTCTATGCTAGCGGTCACCGGACCTGAGCCAGCTCTTCCTATAACCAAGCCTGGTATTCCGCCTAACCGCAGCTTTGTCCTGGCTCTGTGGTTTATTACCGTCTCTCAGTCTCTGCTCTGCCGACCATTTACAGAATTGTCCTGAACTCATCGAATATGAAGTTAGGCACATGAGCTTCAACCACCTGGAAAGAATAGAGCAGAGTTAAACAAGAACAAAGCAACAATGCCACTATAGGATACCCAATGACAGCGGTTCAGTTTATCTTTTCTAGTGGAGCTCCTCCATGTCCCCTAATAATTTAGTTGTCCTCCTCTGTACTCTCTTCAGTTCCAAAACTCCTCTTCTGTGAACTGGCGCCAAAAACTGAACTGCATATTCAAAAAATAGTTCTTACCAATGCAATGTAATGGACAAGAGTTTGTCTTTCCCTCTCACTACTCTGTAATAAACTGTATATGTGGTGATTTCTTTTCAGTGATTTTTCACAACCAAAAGAAAAAACAAAAAAAGTACTTGATAGTTAAAAGGAGAACTACGGGGTCAGGGCTTTTCCCCATAGTTCTCCTTAGGGTAACGGGACGACACAAACTAGCGTCCTCCCGTTACCCTAAGCTCAGTATGCCGCAAGGCTGTAGCTCGTGGTATACTGAGACACCGCAGCCGGAGCGGATCCCGACGTCGATGTCGAGATCCGCCCAGCTGCGTGAGTGACAGCTGGCTCTGACTATCTAGAGGCAGAGCCAGCTGTACCCGCCCCCTCCCCCGTCCGTTCCGCCAGTCCTCGCTGGCGGATCGGAGCGGGGAGAGGAGAATCCAGCCACTCCCCTGTGACGGCAGAGAGCTGTGACAGGATCGAGAGGTGAGCGAACGCCGGTATATGTTCGCTCACCTCCCGATCTACTGAGCCGACCTGTGACAGTCTCATTGTCACAGGTCGGCTAGAACTATGAGGTGAGTGAAAAGCACTCGCCTCATAGTTCTCCTTTAATTTGGTGTCGACCTAAATTTAGTGCCATATTTCTCATAAGGTACCCATGGGTCCACAGGTTGCATGATGATGTCCCCCCAGGGGGTGTGCCCATGACAGCCGGACTCAAAGGAAGTGGACTGAATGGTGCTGGAATTGTTTTCTTGTGATGCGTTCCTTGTGGTGACCTGCATTGACCTAGTGCAGTAAAACGCAGGTCATCGCAGAATGTGTGAACAGGCACTTATAACACACAAAAAGGCTGATTTTTAAAGTGAAATGTGACAATGTTTGTAGATCCAGCACATACAGATACATCAATGACAATAGTAAAGACATGACATCTACTTACCCTCCTGGGCAGCTTAGTATAGTGAACGTAATCTTCGAGAAACATAAGTGCACCAACCACATCTGCCGGCATCTCCGGAATCTTTTGGCTGAAACCCAAAACCAGACGTCATTCCATCCAAATAATTTATCTTTAATACTAAACTGGTTTATCAGACATGACAAACACTATGTGATTTATATAAAACCCTTAATGGTTGAGTAGAGGGAAGGGGGGGGCAAATGCAGCACAATTTTACATGCATTCATCTTGCACTTGAGATCAGTTTGAAATGTTTCCTTCTTACCTGCTTCTGACCTGCTGCTAGCATTCCTATGAACCTTTATGGGGAGAAAAGCCATTAGAATAGATGTGCTTGCAACTCACCTTGTGCTCTGCTCCATGGAGGAACGGATAAACTGCCCAATAAGGGCAAGGAACTGCTCCATATATCGGGAGTGGAACTGTTTCAGCAGCGTCATTAACCCCAGAACTAGTGGTGGCCAGTCAATGGCGTCTGCTGGCTTCCTGCAGGTCATACCTATGTAGTAGAGAGAGAAGCATCAACTGCTGGTTCGTACAGGTTGGGACCCTTCACCAAATTATAGAGGTTCTCTATTCATAATTCCTAGTACTGTATTGGTAGATTGCAGAGGAATGACTGATGACTGTGTGACCATGAAGAGAATGGCTTAGCAGAGAAAGATCACTCTGCCTATTGTAGACAATGGTGTATACGTCAATTTTAGAGCATGTAAAGCACCTTATGATCGGACTACAAACCAGAAAGAGGGTGTATTCCCTTGATAACATAGGACGCATATAAAAGTGAAAGGGCTGTGCATGGAACACCGGTGCAGTGTAATTAGTGGACTCATTTAATATGGCAGGCATCTCCCTGTGTTGCTACTATGACATATGTGGTGTAATAAAGACCAAATAATCACACTGTATAGCAGACACATGAGCAGGTATGCTTATGTCATGGTGACGGCAAGTCATCAGGTCCATCCAAGGAGAGACCTGCTCAACCCATGGATACAAAGGTGTCCAACTGTTGACCCATTCAGCAACACATAGCCAATGCCTTAAGTGTGCATCCTAGCCTATGCATTTCATGGGCAAACCCCCACTCTGGCCCCCTTGGTCATCTGACCTCCCTAGGTCATCTGACCTCCCTAGGATACCCCACTATAATTAGATAAAGAGATACACATGTGCACATGTCACTTTGAGATTGTCAAACAACAGGTATGTATGCAATCATATATCATCAAATAGCAAATCCAATAATAAATGGTGTTCATTGGGACAGTCATCAACCATATAGCCATGTTGTCTCCACACAATATCAGCTACTGTGGGGGATATGTTGCCACATAAGCTGTCATATTGGGCACTATAGCTTCCACCAGAAGCTCATGAGACAATGCAGGAGCACAATTGAGAGACGAGGAAAGAGCGTTGTCACCCGGTAACAGGAAATGCTTGTACAAGGACCTTCATGGCAGAATCACCCGATATTATTTTAAAGCTGCAGGACAATGAGGTACCAGTGTGATTGCGAGGATACATTCTACAATGAGCAGGCTCAAGGTGGACAGGCAATACGGGATGCTGCAAACAGGAGGTGTCTCCTGCCTGTGCTAGTCTGTCTAGAATGTGTGTCTGATTCACAAATTGGCTGAGCAGAACTAAAGATCCTTCAACAGGTTAAACAATCCACATATATGTAAGCTGGACTTGAACTTTTAGTATAAAATGGACAGAAGGGGATACAAAACTATGCGCCTAAGCACCACTGTACTATGTATCCAATACATTACCTAAGTTCTTGCTATACTGCAGCTTGGGCAACTGGGAAATCAGGAAGAGGAAGTTGGTGATGGGGAAAAAAGACAGCTGCTTCGTGGTGACATAAATCTGTAAAATAAAATGGACAATAAAAGCCAAAAGTCAAATAGCTTCTATGGGAAGTGGCAGCTCTACAAAATTAACATTTCTAGTAAATTCCGTAGGTTAGTACAATTCATAACATGAAACAAATGGACTAAAAAAGACATTTTAAAAAAGTGACAGGTCCTCTTTAGGCTACTTGACATCTTAAAAAGACTGTAAAAGAAAAAAGAAGTTTAAGTTACTTTGTTGAGAGGGTTGTGTGTTCCGGCAGCCTCCAGGTACGCAGTGATCTCATACAGAAGAGTGTTGTCCTCTTTGGGGCATGGCAGAGATGGATCCTGGTAATGAGCTTTTATATCTGACAGAATGGCTCTGAAATGGACAAAAGAGAATTGTCAGCATCTGTTGGGTGACATTTACTATACAATATATGGCCTAATTATTGTGAACACCTGAATATCACACCTATATAAGCTTGTTGGACATCTTATTAGCTAGCCACGGGTATTCATATGGAGTGCCCTCCCCGCCCTTTGCGGCTATAACAGCCTCCACTATTCTAGGAAGGCTTTCTACAAGTTGTTGGAGTATCTGTGGGAAATTGTAACCATCAAGCCAAAAGAACATTTGTGAGGTCAGGTACTGCTGTAGGGACGAGAAGACCTGGCTCACAATCAGAGTCAAAATTCAGATGGTCAGTTGAGGTCAGGACTCTATGCAGTCCATTCAAGTTCCCCCACACCAAACCCACCAAACCATGGAGCCGTCTTTGTGCACAGTCATGCTGGGACAGAAAAGGGCCTTCACCAAACTGTTACAAGATTGAAAATGCCTTTGTATGTTGTAGAATTAAAGTGTATGTGAACCCCAACAATGAACTTCCCTTTGCCTTGCTCCCTTTTGGTCTGTTAAAGTGGAACTTTAAATACAAATGTAATAACAGCCAGGCTTTTTAGGTCTCCTCTTCTTACCTGTCTGTTCACAATCTTACAATGTACCGTATATACTCGAGTATAAGCCGTCCCGAATATAAGCCGAGGTACCTAATTTTACCACAAAAAACTGGGAAAAAATATTGACCCGAGTATAAACAAGCCGAGGGGGGCCCTTTTTAGCAAAAAAAATGGGCTGAAAAACTCGGCTTATACTCGAGTATATACGGTACATTAAGCTGCTCATGTGCAGCTCAGTATACACTTTAAAGTGATATTAAAGTTTCCTTTTTCTTTTTCCACCTAGGAAGCTGACCATGGCATACATCTTCCTTTGTTCTTCTTCTTTAAAAGGAGAACTATGGGGTTAAGGCTTTTCCCCATAGTTCTCCTTAGGGTAACGGGAGGAAACAAACTAGTGTCCTCCCGTCACCCTAGGCTCAGTATATAGGGAGCTACAGCTCGCGGTATACTGAGACGCCTGCAGCTGAAGCGGATCCCGACAATTATGTCTGGATCCACCCAGCTGCATGAGTGACAGCTGGCTCTGCCTATCTAGAGGCAGAGGCAGCTGTACCCGCCCCCTCCCCCATCTGTTCCGCCAGTCAGCGCTGGCGGATCAGAGCGGGGAGAGGGGAATCCAGCCCCTCCCCTGTCACGGCAGAGAGCCATGACAAGATCGAGAGGTGAGCGAACGCCGGTATGTGTTCGCTCACCTCCCCATCTACTGAGCCGACCTGTGACAGTCTCATTGTCACAGGTCGGCTAGAACTATGAGGATGAGGGAAAAGCACTCACCTCATAGTTCTCCTTTAAAAATAATTTTCTTCCTCGTTTTCTAGTGGGTCCCCCTGCACAGGTGCTGCCATCAGCTTAGCAGCTGCTGCGGAGGCACCCATTGAATGCTTGTTCCCGCGGTAGCTGTGTGCACACTGCCCGTTCAGCATTGCGGTCATCGGAAGCCCGCCCCGCGATGATCGCAAGTACGATCTGCCTGTCCAAGATGGGCAGATCGTACGTTTTTTAAATTACTTTACAACCATCGCAAGACTAAGGTCTTGCGATGGTTGTAAAGTGTATGGCCACCTTAAGCCATAAGTGGTGTGCAATCAGGTGTAACCTTAGTAATACATTCTCTTTATCTTACTCATTGAAGTTCTCCAGAGCCGCGGCCAGGTGCTTGGAGTCAAACTTGCAGGAATAGTTTAACTCATTAGCAATCTGCCTCCTGAGAATCTGCATCTGACCAACCTGTAATGACACAAGAAACCCAAAGACGGCCTAAATAGTGCAACACTGATCTTTATTATTCCCTTTGCCAGATCAAGGACTAGAAACACGAGCTAAAAAAAAAAAAGGTGCACTTGATAGCGAAGATCCAGAGGGTTTGTATAGACAAAATAGAACAAGTTGAAGGGAAACTTCAGTTTTAAAGAAAAATAATACACAAACCAGCACAAATAAACAGGTTTTGCTGCAAAACTCACCTTCATTGCAGCTCTGATCCCCGTAGAAATTCCTCTGACTCTAGATGTTATAAGTCTTGTGGGCTAAATAACTACCAGCGTCATTCAAATAACAGCCAGCGTCATTCAACCCACTTCCTCTGAGCCCAGGCTGTCATGAACATACCCCATGGTGGAGTGTGATCACACTGGCCTGTTGACAGTGCTGCTGCAGCAATGGTGATCAGTCATTGCTTCTTACCACTGCTACCAGGCTTGGGTGCTGCCAAATAGACTTATGATACTACTGGTAAGTTGTCTCACTGCTGTAGAAAAATTAGAGAGCCTCTATAATAATAAGTGTATTTGTCACTTAACTTTGAAAGGAAATGCAGAAAACTAAGATCACGAATGAAGAGTCAAAAAGGAAGTTAAGGTCGATCTTCAGGAGAATATAAAAAACATAATTTAATCCAGTTATATATTAATAAAAAACATATATGGGCCAATTTATAAAGGAGAGCAAATATCGCTATCCTCTCTATGACAGGCACTGAAATGTTTACTTCACACTGCACTTTGAAAGTGCAGTTCCAAGATTTCCCCTTCCTGCCAACCACTGCCGCCCAGAAGTTTTCTTTTACATCCCTATACATACTTTTCTTCTTGATGTCTTCTTGCCAGTCATGTGACATCATCAACTCTTTCGCCTGCTTTTGGTGGCGGTGGGGCCCGGACATACTTAGGGATTGAGCAGTGCTCCCTAATGACATGAGTGCCTCACATTCCTGGAGTACTCGAACTCCAGACACGTAAACGATGGGCTGGGCTCACAGGAAATGGGTAGAATGACAGTGTGTCATTCTGCCCAGAAGACGACCTCTAGCACTGGACTGGGGAGGAAGCTGGGGACAGTGCTGGAGCGTGGGGAGGATAAGTAAACATTGGCAATCTTTTTTGGATATTAGGGGCCCAGAACCAATACAAAACCCAAACATTTTAACTAGAGTTGTACTATGAAGATCATTCATAAAATGCACAGTGGTATGCAACCTGAGGTGACTCGCAGAGTATTTTCTGCATACGTGTGGTCACATGACAGGTGTACTGCTAGATTATCATTTACTCTTCACATCAAGCCATTCATTTGGATTTTAAAATAACAGTCATGTTTAGACTAACAGAGCAATGACATTAGTAGTAGCTTCTCTGACCAGTCAGCTCAGTTCTCTATTACGTTTCTGAACTGCCTCTCAAATTTGGAAGACAGAAAGGAAGCTGTTGAGTCATTCATTTTTGTATATTCTAACCTGCTCAGTTTTACTGATGGTTTTAGGGGATTGTCTGAGCTCGTGATTTGATCATTAAGAGTCTAAGCGCCAAGCACTACAAATGGAGGCACTGCTGACATATTCTTCATTTTAGGCCATGTGATTAAGCCCTAGTACAATGGTGGCAGTGGTGGGACTATTTTTTTTTTTTGAACCACAGCACCTGTGCTGTCTATCGGGGTGTCTGGATTGCGAGCCTGGCTGCACAGAATAAACCTTTTGGAATGTTGGATAATTTACATATACTGTATGCATCTAATCTGTGTGTAAAACCACACATATAAAACCAATCAATTACATAAACGGACTTAAATACCTTTATTATTGAATCCAGATATGGAGTCCAGATCCTTGGAGTTTTGGCAATGGCGGATGAATATATTTTAGAAGAGTTGGCTGCAGAGAAACATTTGATTATTATGGTTTTGTTAGCATTACAGTGGAACTTGTAGACTACAGTCTCCAAATGATTGAGGCACATGAGAGGCACATAAGACTACTGTACTCCATGGCCTCTTTATTAGGCACATTGCCAAGGCACTTCCTGTTCCGTATATATCTGATTGCTAATCTCACAGTGCTGCTCAATGTTCTCCTTGCTGGAGAAGAAGCTGTACCTGAGGATCTGCAGTACAAGGTTCTCCCTGCTTCTCCTTCATTCATTCTGTGCTTCCTCCACCTCTCCTGCTGCTTCATCATTAATCCACTAGTCATCAGATCACTGGCCATCAAGAGGCAGCTCTAATGTGTGTAAGCCAATCCTTGTGCCTCTACCAAGGTGGCAGCCTCCATACAGGCTAGCTAGTAAGTGTCCTGGGAAACAGTTTGCTTTTGTATTGTGTAAAGCCCTCCCATGTGTGCCTTGCTTTAAAGCTAGTTATGAATTGATGAGTGATTGACTTTTGCAATGCTTGTTGGATTTGGTATAGGGACATACTGAGGGCTTCAGCTGCCGTTGTGATGTGCGGGGCTTCTGGTGTGTCCCTGTGCCTTTAAAGAGGAATGGGCTACCTCCTGGTGAACCTGCGCCCAATTCATCCTTTGCTATATATACTCCAAGATGGAGGTTTTCATAGATCCGAGTTAGGACCACACTACACAGAGTGGCCTTGACCAGGCAGTGTGGCTTCCACATACTGAAACCTCTGTATTTAACCCTAAAGGTCAGACAGTGTCATTTGTCTATTTTTTTTTTAATGCAGGCTGGTAAGTGTGCTGGGAAATGTTTTGCTTTAGACTCCACACAGAGACACAGTGTAGAACAAGGCATAGTAAGTCTGTAATTGGGGGGCGGGAAGATAATCTGTCTGGAGCAAACAGGCATTACTGGTGACGACCTGTTTGTCCGCCGTTTTGTCTTTGTTGCAACTTTCACACCACAGGTCCTCTAACAGCATTATGCAGTTCCTACAGATATACAGGTGAAACTCGAATAATTAGAATATCATGCAAAAGTAATTGCAGTAAGTGCTGCAAAAGGGGCCCAAACCAAGTACTGAGTACATATGCATGCTTGTACTTTTCAGAGGTCCGATATTGTTCTATGTACAATCCTTGTTTTATTGATTGCATGTAATAATCTACTTTTTTGAGGTTGTGGATTTGGGGTTCTTGGGGTTTTCATGAGCTGCAAGCCATAATCATCACAATTATGACAAATCACGGCTTGAACTATCTTGCATTGCATGTAATGAGTCTATCTCATATATTAGTTTCACCTTTTAAGTTGCATTAGTGAAATAAATGAACTTTGCACGATATTCTAATTATTCGAGTTTCACCTGTAATGGCCACACATTTATGCTGCAAACATTTTTTCCCCAACTCTTTGCTGTTTACCCCATTATTTGCATGTTGCAGTAGAAATCGAGATTTGTCAGACCAAGCAAATTCTTCCAGTCTGCAATTTTCCAAGTATGGTGATGCAAAAGAGGCTTGTCATGGCCCCATTTTCCTGAATTTGAAATTCACCATTCTCCTCCATTATAAAAATAGTCAACAGTATTTGAGATGATGAAACCCTAACTTTGGGTCTAACAGGTATTCCGTACTTAAAGTCGCTCAGATCTTTCAGCTTCACCATTCTAAAAAAACACTGAACTTCTTTAACATGGTTGCATGCTTTATGTATTGAGTTGCATTCACATGACCCAATGTTATTTGCTAAAGCTATTTAAGAGGTTCTGAACAATGGAAGGCGGAGGCCGGCTTCCCAATTACGTGATCACTCTGATTGTCATATGATCAGGAGCCTGTACCAGCAGCTTTTAAACATAAATTGTTCACAGGAACGGTTGTTGACAGATGAGCCACTGTCCTGGGAGTGTGCAAATAAGCGCGCCCTCAGCACAGGCGTCCAATTGACTTTAAAGCCCACTCCCCATGCTGAAGCATATGTGCATTATGTTGGCAGAAGGCAGTTAAACAAGCAGATGTACCCAATACAGCAGCCACTGAGTGACAAGTTTGGTTTATGTTGGCCATACAGCCCATTTGGGTCAACCACAACCTGTATATATATTAGAATACAATCAATCACTTACCTATAATCCCCTTTAGAGGGCTGGCCACTTTCTGCAGAGCCCTGAGAGTTTCCTGGACTGTTTTATCCTTCAGAATTATCCGCTGATACAGTCTGAGAAAGTTCTGTACAAACCAATAAGAATACCCATCAGATGTAGGTTAGGAAATACTCTTAGCTGTACTTACAAAGGCTGACAATTATAGATATATATTAATACTCCGCTGGCGGGGGTTCCATCTTCACTGGTGCCCTTACCGAGAGGTCACACCACACACGTCTTGGGGCTTTCATTCAGCAGGGTTCTGACTTGACCCGAATTATTCTACTGTTTTACAGGTCTATGGGTTACACAGCTCTAGTTAAAGGGCGGGGGGGGTATGATATGTGGTTTTGTTGGACCAATTTTGTCAAATGTGCCCCTGAGTGTTGGAACTCAGGTGATAACTGTGTATTTTGTACTGTTGTTTATATGAAAAAATCTAATAAAAACTATAAAAAAACCATTGATTAGATCATTGTGGCACAACTTACAGTGATCCCTATGTAGACGTTCAATCAATAAGTGCACAAATTAGTCTTTTTCATTTATGATCTAGCGATTAGCTGCTAGGCTCAGGCACTGTCACAGGGGAGCAAGTCACATGTTCCACCCATACCAGGAAATGGCAGGTTTTCTTGCCGGCTTGGGAGGAATAAGGAACAGTAGGCAGCACAAGAAAGTTTAAGCATATATATACACGCATAAG